AGCAAATGCTGAAGCTCTCACAAAAGTATTGACTGCCGGCTTTTGACAGCTCTGAAGACATCATTGAGAAAACGGTGCCAAGATTTTGAAGATAAGGTTGAATTTCAAATTGCAACGACAATAGACCCTCATTATAAGCTAGATTGGTGCACAGATAATGAAGTTGATGACATCAGAAAATTGTTACTGTCAAAAGCTGAGCAGCTTTATTCTTATTCAACAAGTGGTACACAATCCAATGAGAGTGATTGTCCTCCACCACCTAAACGAACAAGAGTAGGATTAGAATTCATGAAAAGCAGAGCAACACCAGGTGTGATTAATAGAAATGGTCCTGATTTTGAAGTCAGTAGCTACTTAGCATCTCCATGTTTGCCAGAAGAAGACGATGTTTTAGAATTTTGGAAAAGTAATGAAGCCACCTATCCAACATTAGCAAAAATAGCTTCAACATACCTAGCTTTTCCAGCTTCATCTGCTGCAGTAGAGCGTATTTTCAGCATTGCTGGAAAAATCTTTAGGCCCGAGCGTTGTTCTTTATCTGATAAACTGTTTAAAGATTTGATGTTTGTACGATGCAATGAAAACATTCAACATTGACTTGATTTTGATTTTTGTTCTTAAAATACATTTGCATCAAAATTGTAATTGTAATTGAAATGTAATTGAAATTACTCTATCAGGGCGTAATTGTAATTGTAATTGAGCCTTTTTTTTACAAAAGTAATGTAATTGAACGTGTAATTGTAATTGAGATTTTGTAATTGACCCCAGGTCTGGTTGGATTCATATTAATTTTGGTTTATCATTATGTTTGTATAATGGAATGACAGAACTATGGAAGCAAGGTCTTTCTACAATGTATCAAGTTTACATGTTAAGTATTCTACTGGGAATCATTGTACTCAGTAGATTCTCAGTCAAGATCTCCAATAAAATAGCAAATTCATCAGTACAAATCCTGGTCACTGTTGTGCATATATCTTTCTCATACTTATTGACAACCATAATGGATGTATTCACACCAGTAACAATATATACCAATAACACTGAGGAACCAATGCAGGTTTGGTTCAAGTACCCTACAGTTGAGTATGGTACACATGGTCATTTAGTACTTATGATCATTACATCACTGGTAGTTGGTCCTGTATTAGGTGTATACATGACTGTATTATTAGCTGGTAGGCCACTAATGAGGATCAATTATAGGATCAGAGAATATATACGTCCTGTATATGAAGCTATACATGCTCCTTATAAAAGAAACAAAGAATTTTTTTTGTATCACGGCTACTCATAGTTATATTACTGTATGTAATATATACTTGTTTGAGAGGGAAGGATACATTGCTTGGAATAGCAATAGCATCACCAATACTCTCTGTGTATATTGCAGTAGAATCTATGGCCAGGCCTTTTAAAAGAATGTCTCTCAATATTTTCAATTTGTGTCTCCTTTCATTTTTAGTTCTTATTTATGGATCTAGCTGGTACTTTATGAAAAATGATCGCGAGGATGGACTAATGATCATTATTGCAATTTTTAATGCTGCTGTTGTCATATCTTTACTTGGTGTAATTATTATACACATTTTATGGGTAACTGGTCTATTGGAAAAGATAAAAATTAAGTTTAGAAAGTATTGGCTTCGTTTTCTAACACAGAGTCGAAAAAAAGCAGCTTATGTTCATATGACTGGATCGTTTTTTGAATCTTATGATAGAGTGAGAGAACCACTGATCTCTTCAGATTATCATTAACTGAATTTCATTAACTTTGTTGTGTTAATCTTTTTCATTTTCATTGCTGCATACTTAATAGCTATAGAGTTTCCAAAACTTTAAATGTTTGTAGTAGTTCTTTCTATGTTAGCTCTAGTTATTCATAAAGTTCTTGATTTAGTAATAATACACCATTCATAATGGTTTACTTGTAAGCTGCGCAAACTTATAATTCCTGGAGACTTATGGCTGTGGCTAATGGTTTCCTTTGCAAAGTGCTTCAAGAGGCCTGTATTTTGTATTCCTCCATATAACAACCTTGTGCACATGTCCATTGATGCAAAATGGAACTTATTTTTTATCATGGACTCACGTGAACCCTATATACAAACCTTTGGGACTCCTAAAATAATTAGGGGACTAGATAAAATCAACCTTGGGAACTCTATCTAGGGAATCCTGAGCCAAATAAAATGTAGAAAAATTAATAACTAAAAGAAGTAAAAATACTAAATCAGCCATTATGTCAGATTTCAACAAGGTAGATTTAAATAGATAGCATCCTACACTCACATCTGATGCAGCTTGCCCTTTAGCTTCCCAACTGTGCTACCACAACCCTGCTGCCAAATCATAGCCAATTTTTGTATCTAGATCTACATGTATACTCATTTCTCCTATGCAGGACCTTGCCCCTATAAGGAGTGAAGCCCCCTGCCGGTTTTGGAAGCAAGGTTCTGAAGAGAACTGGTACCTGCTCTCTAGACACTTCATGAATTCAATGTAACACATACTTTTTGTAGCAATATACTGAGAATACAATGTGCCAGCTTTTTGTTATCCTGAAAGAATATGTTTTCATAGTGTTTATAGTATGGCTGCCTTCCTGATGAGTGGAAGATCCATAAGATTGTGTTAATCTTTGAATCTGGTGATCCCTGTGATGTTGAAAATTATATTATAGACCAATCTGTCTTCTGAGCATTCTATCAAAGGTCCTAGAATCAATTGTATACAAAAAAGTAATCTCATTTGTCTGATCCTCCTAATGTCATAGTCAATTAGGCTTTCTGGCTAATCATTCCTTGGTATCCCAGTTAGATCTACTGCTCTCCTTTGATAAAGTAATGAGCCATTGTGATTGTGGTTTGCCTACTGACATGGTCTATTTTGACTTTAAAAAGGCATTTGATTGGGTCTCACGGGTCTCTGTGGAGGTGGTTCCGATGGTACTTATCAAAAAGATATCACCTTGTTAGTATTGATGGCTACTCCTCTGACATACTTCCCGTCAGGTCAGTAGTGCGGCAAGGTAGTATACTGGGCCCACTTCTTTTTCTCATTTTTTGTTAATATCTTCCAACATGTATCTCACACTCGTCTATGCTGTTATTTGCAGATGATTCTAAACTTCAGAGTGTTATCTGTAGCCCATCTGATTCTTTGTCGCTCCAGTCTGACATAAATGCATTGGTCTCATGGACTCATTCGAATTTTCTGTTCATCAGCCCACGTAAGTGTACCCTCATAAGATTCTTCTTTAATGACTGTAGCTCTCTGGTTTACTGTGTGGACAGTGATCAAATCTCTGTTCCTCTATGTCATTGTGACCTTGGCGTAATGGTTTGTGGTGATGTATCATGGGTCAGTCATTATGACTCCATTTTCTCCAAAGCCTACAATTATCTTAATTTAATTTGTCGGACTTTCTCTACCTCTCTCAACTGTGCTGTTAAAAAACAGCTGTACCTATCTATGGTATAATCTAAATTTTGTTGTGCCTCCCAGTTGTGGCGTCCTCAATTAAAGAAGCATATCTTATTGCTAAAAAGAGTACAGCATAGAGCATTGTAGTATGTGTGATGAAGCAATAGAGGCTGCTGTATGCTTGCCCAGGACTGTTAACTAATTAATGTCTCACACATAATTATCACTTCACACATTGTACTCCAATCTGATTGGACACTAGACATGCTACCATGCTTTTCTCTCATTCTAGAACATTCTACATGTATGGATATATATATGTGAGAGTAGAGAGAAAGTAGAGAGTTGCCATTTTTGACAAGATAATTTCAATTTTTAAAAGAACGCAGTCAACCTCTCGGCTACGCGACAGTATGTGTTAGGTGATTCTTTGTCTTCATACAGAGATAGATGGGTACAGCTCTCCCTGTTCCCATTGATGTACTGGCTTAAGCTGCTTGACATTATGTTTGTGTTTTAAAAGTCACTCAAGTTCCCATCTGACAACATGTCCATACTGGAATTTGTCTCCTTCAATGATTCCGCCACAAGGTCATCAGCCTCTCATAAACTCAAGCACATCTACTGTTGTACTTCTAAGTCACATCACTCCTATTTTAACAGGATTGTGAGGCTGTCGAACAAATTACCTGAAATTGAACTTACTGAATCTCTAGTTACTATCAAATCCAAGCTGTATATTCCTCTGGAATCACTTTACACAGAACTTTGATTCAGCAAACCCATGTACCTTTCATTTCCTTTGCCCTTGTTGTCCTGTCTTCATTAGTTATTTTATATTATTACTAATTTGTGTGTTGTTTTTTTAATTTTCTTTGTTTCTCTTCTCTTACTTTGTTTGTTCTTCATGGCTACTTCAATTTTTGGAGTTAGACCCCTCAACACTATTTTGATTTTGTTTTCTCCCCGTCTATGTTAATTGTTTTTGTGTGTTGTTAAGTTATAGTAATAATAACAATAATAATAATTATTATTATTATTATTATAGGCTCTGCAGATCTCCTCTCCTCCCCCCTGAGGTGGATGGGTCTATTTAACTTTTGTTTATTTTTGTTTTCTTTTTGTCTTTCTCTCGGATTCTCCCTCTCCTCCTTTCTATATATTTCCTCTCTTTTTGTTGCCCTTTTCTTTCTTATTAATAATAATAATAATAATAATAAAGATGATATGTAAAGAAAGATTGAAGGGAGACAAAGGAGTATTGCTGTGCATTGAGAATATTTTCTAACTTAGTAATTACAGCATTAAAAACCATTTGCACTACAAATAGTTCTTTAATACTGTAATTATTTCCCTATACTATGTAAGGAATAGGAGCTTGTCAACTACCTGTACATGTAATATCCTTTTGTGAGTACTATCTGAGCATCACACCTTATACTGTAATAAACGTTATGACAAGCATGCGTACATAAATACTATATACACATAAAAAAGAAAAAGAGGAGACCAGATTATATTTTATTTTACTTATAATATTTTTATTTATTTTTAATAGATTAAGTATCATCAGTACTGGCCTACAATCGGTACAGTAGTTTTCAAGTTACCCTGAATGAGGTGGAGACATTGGCTGACTTTGTTCCAACTACAATTTGTAAGAGAGAGGAGAAAATGCTATTTATACAGTGTACAGGCACAAGTTTGTGACTATATTTTTTTTAACCACAAAAAAGTAATACATGTACATTATTTAACTTTGTTTCTGCCTTTGAAGCCATAAGCACATTCCCTACACAGCTTGTGACAATATGTAATTAAATTCAGATACATGTACATGTAGCCATTAGTATGGTACTGTTTGTCACACCTGTACAATTTCAAATGAAATTTCTCCCAACAAAATTTTTCCTAGCTAGATGAATGAAAATTTTTATTAGTAATGAAAATAGAACATGAGAGAGTTGAACTTTTGATTGAATTATTGTATTGCATTCAAGTCTTGATTATGTAATTTATGTAAAATGTAAAGATGATGCTGACGTTAAAAAGATAAATTAAAAGTAAAGTCCTCAATAAAATGCTCATAGAGTAGTAATTGTAATTAGAATCGCCTGGTGGAAAATTTACATGAGGGCTTTTGCATCATATTTCATGAAAGACAGTTAGCCATAGTTTTGGCCATTTTACTTAAAATATTTTTAGTAGCTTAACATAGATGTAAAATTAATCTACCTGTACATTTGTATTGTACTTTAATACTTGCATAATAATAATAATTATTATTACTAGGATTTTTGTGCTGCTAAATGAAACTGGTTCTTGGGATCATGATTAGTATGAAGGATACAAAGCAGAAGTGGTATAACTAGTAATGAAATGAAATTCGCCAAGTTACTTGTTTATGGGAAATTTAAGAATTTTATAATACTATAATAATAATAGTAAGAATAGTAGTAATAGCAATAATAATAATGGGAAAAAGAGATGGAGAAAATTGGGGAAACCCACAAAAACTGAAAGTAGAACAAAAATAGAGAGTTGTGCAAAAAAAATATGTCAAAGAAAGCAACTAAGTTCAAGGTATACTAAATAGAATACTAGTTTCACTGCCCAGACCCTTCTGCCTGTAGTCATTGATCATAGGTGGGAGATTATTTGACTATAACCTCTCCTTGTCCACTTTTCACTTCAGTCTATTTAAATAATTTCACTTAATTAATGTATAGAGAGACATAAAACAGGTACAATTAATAATTAGTATAGTTATGAAACGAATCGATTAATACCATAATAGTCTGCTATTAAAAAGTGGCCAAAATTAAGAATATAAATTTACAACTGATTCACGACTAGTACGAAGACTAACATCAGTAGAACTTGGTACAATTTCTCTCCTTTGCTGATCAACAGTTTTATGTGATTCAGTTACATCTAAAAGAGGTTCGTCATTGTCATCATGTTTTTTGAATAACTTCCTAATTAGAGCATCATAACATTTCCTATGCGATGACTGCAGGTGAATGTGATAAGCAACTATCAAAAGAAAACTAAAAATAAAAACAGATAAACAAATATTGTACCAGATCAATACTTTCCTGTCATCAGTAAAGGCTATAGACAAAGAAGACATTATGCACAAGTTTAATAGGAACCAAAATTCTATGATGTTGTTTAACTTTTTTCTGTACACACCACCAAAAATAAAACTAAGGGAGAGAATCATAGCTGTTACTGCCAATAAAAAGAAACAAGATTCATTCTTCAAAAATGTGACAGTTAAAAGTACAGGTATCCTAGCCACTAGCAGTAGACCAGGCCAAAACCGATAACCGTCTTTCATTGGACCACTATAAGCATCAATAATAGGCTTGAAACGACTCCAGCTCTTAAACAGTTTAAAATGTGACAAATGCTTCTCAAGCACTGGATGACATAAAAGGAACAGTGTGTATGGTATGACAAATAAAACAGACACCAATAGGGCAAATCCAAATAGTCCAGCATGCTTTCCTTTGGCATATTCAATATTAGGATCCTCATACCATAAACTAACTGATCTTACTGACTCATTTGTACAGTGAAGAGTTACCTCACGCTTGTGTAGTACAATAACAATGGTACGTACTAGTTTTGTATATGAGAGAAATGTAAGTGTAGACAAAACAGGAACAGCATTAGATCCCATCAGTCTTGATATCTTGCCATATCTCCGACACAATTGTATAATGATGACAATAATGATCCACAAGTAGAGAGGGAAAGCAAACTGGAGCCATTGTTTAGCATAACTGTCCATACCAATGTAAAAACATATCTCAAACCCAAAGTCTAAATTAATCCATGATACCACTTGGGTCAAGACTGGTAATGCTCCTTTCTTTAAGAAGACTGGCTCACATAACTTGACAATGTTGGCATAAAATAATAGACCATTGAGTGTACCCACTGATACTGTTAAATTGAGAGCGATCATTAGAACCACAAGTAGTACACCCATGACCGCAAACAGAGCAATCCAAGCTATTACTATGATGTAATTATTGTGACAATGGCCACACTTGCTTGATCCCATTAGCAGACTGTATCCCTCTCTACATGATCCACACATTCTGTGTCCTCTATTATCCACACATTGAGTATCAGTGTCATTCAACTGAAAGGTGACTGGACTAGGAGAACAATACAGGAGGCATTCCTCATTGATAATGCATGCATTAGGATTGCTTGCATTAGCACTCAAAGGTGTACTGGTATATGTTCCAATCCACAGCAGACCATTGTGTGTAATGCTTAGGCTCCTTATATCACATGTCACATTCTCTCTTGAAACACTTTGACTGCAAGCACAGAAACCTTGTGAACTGCTTGTACTGAAGCCAATGGGACACTCATTAACAATGAAATTAAAAGTAATGTCATGGAATGAAGATTCAAGTGTCAGGTAACTTTGTTTTCCTGCTTGAATCCGTTTAGGTGTATGTTCAATCAATGAACAAGTATTGGGAATATATACAATTTGATTGACCACATTGAAGGAGTTATATATTTTCACTGTACCATCTGTGGGAGTTGGTAATCCAAAGTAACTTGAACCAAACAAAGCCACGTGAAATTTTAATGACTGTCCTGGATAAATGTGTGGCTTCCTTGCATTATAAGGTAAACATTTTTTAGCAACATTGATATCATGAGGATCGCATAAACAAATTACTGCTGCGTCACTTGTTGAAGTAATGTTTGGGTTTGTCAATTTCAGTGGTTTAAATGTAGCTATATGGAATCCATACATATCACCACCCTCCAGTCCAGCACTATTATTTATTAATGTAAGAGGTCTATTTGGTATCATCAATTTTATGTCACTATTTGATGACTCTTCAACATAGATCCCTCCACCTTTATAAGAAGCATGATTATCAATAAACATTAAGTAAGCTGATGCTGTTAATGTTAATTGTGACGAATCATTTATTGCTAATCCTCCTCCTACTATTCCAGTATTGTTTGTAAATAT